CGAAGTCCGACTGGCTCTCGTCGCGACAGCGCTCACGGCTCCACCGATATGAGTTGAAGGAGGGCCTCCTCTATTATCGGGTGGAGCCCACTGATCCTCCACGAGTGGTCGTACCCAACGACGAGGATCTGAAGTTCGACATCCTCGCGGAGGCGCATGACGCGCCCTCCAGCGGCCACTTGGGCCGCGAGAAGACCTTTCTCTCGGTCTCTCAGTCCTTCTGGTGGACCCACATGTACAAGTGGGTCGCCCGGTACGTCAAGACATGTGAAACATGTCAGCGGGTTAAACCCGCAGGGCACTCTTCGGCTCCACTACAGAGCCTGCCCGTACCGGCTGATTGTTGGAAGTCGATGAGTCTTGACTTCATCTTTGGGCTTCCCGCCGACGGACACGGCAACACCGGAATTTTGGTGTTCGTGTGTCGGCTGAGCAAGATGGTACATCTTGCTCCAGTTCCCGTCACTGTGACGGGCGAACAAACCGCAAGGTTGTTCGTCGATGGCGTGTTCCGCTATCACGGTCTCCCGGAGACGATTGTCTCGGACCGAGACCCGCGGTTCACTGCTGCGTTTTGGAAAACGCTGTTCCCTTTACTGGGAACTCGTCTGCAGATGTCCACTGCGGATCATCCGCAGACAGACGGCCAAACAGAGCGCGTCAATCGAGTGCTCGAGGACACTCTGCGCAGTGTGTGCGCGGCAGCGCCACGTACGTGGTCGACGCAGCTTCCAGTTGTTGAGTTTGCGCTCAACAACGCGGTGCACGCGTCCACGGGGTTCACGCCGTTCTACTTGAACGGCTTCCGCCACCCCAGAGTGCCTCTCACTCTTCGAGGAAACACTGACTCCTCTATTCTAAGTGGGGGAGAGGCTCGGAAAGCCCTTTCCTCCCAGGTCTCGGATGTGAGGCCAGTTTCGCTGCGGAAACAGGTGGAATCCTTTATGGATACCAAGCTGAACATTGTCAGCAGGGTCCGCGATGCCATGGCAGCGGCCCAAGATAAACAAAAGGAGTACTCGGACAAACAAGGAAGAGGAAACTTAAGTATATTTGAGATTGGTGACTTAGTGTTACTAGACACGAGGAACCTACCTCTAGACACTGTTAGCTCTGTCGGCAGCAACAAGCTGAAGCACCGCTTCATAGGACCTTTTGCAGTCCTGGCCAGACATGGTGCGTCGTACACCATCGACCTTCCAAAGTCAATGACGACGCACCCGACGTTCTATGTCGGACGTCTTAAGCGGTACTTTGACCCGCAGGGGGTTGCTGACTCGCAGACCCCCCTTGACCCAGCTCCTCGAAGCGAGGGCCGGTCACAGTCGTCGACGAGGGCGTCGGAGCAGGCACCCAAGCCTCGGTCGGGACGGCAAGGCTGCGGTCAAGACCGTACGCCGGAGGGGCTCCATACGAACGGACCCCGGCGCCATACGCCGAGTACGCTGAGTACGCCGGGTACGCACCATACGCGTACGTCTGGGAGTGTGCCGCAGGCGGCTCCGGACGTGGCAACAAAGCCTCGATCCGTCGGATCATGCGAAAGGCCTCGTCCAGATCGGACGAAGAGGCCCGGCGGTCCACCCGCAGGTGCAGGCTCGCGACCTCTCGCTCCACCAGGTCCAGGCGACCCGCAAGACGAGCGAGCTCGCCCTGATTCCCGGGCCTGGGCCGGCAGCATTACCGCCAGTCCCAAGGCCAAGTGCAATCTCAAGCACGAGAGACGTTGACGAAGGCGGTCAACCTCAGGGTCCCGTGTCGAACCCGCAGTCGGAGCACTCGGACGAAGAGTGGCTCTCGGGAGGCGCAGAGTACTCGTACTCGTACGAGGGCACCTCCGGCCCCTGCTTGACCGGAATGGAGAAGTCCACTCCCACGTGGAGCGGATCCTCCAGGAGCAACGGCGTCGCGGTAAGCGACAGCTCCTCGTGAAGTGGAGGGGTTATGCCACTCCAAGAACTCGTGGGAGCCGATTGAACGGCTCCTGATTGACTGCCCGAAGGCTGTCGCAATCTGGGAACAGAAGCGGCGGCAGCTTCATAAGTAGTCCGGGGCTTCTTGCCCGAACGGGGTACGGCCGATGAATACATACCGTACCCGCGCTCATCGTGAGCGCTAGAAGCCGCGCGCTTCAGGATGTCCCTTGGCAGCATACGCTTGCTGACCAAGTGGGCAAGCTGGACACAAAGATCACGCTGGTCCAAGATGCGGGAGATCAGCTGATCTTCATGGAGTTCCCATAACTCCGTGGGCGAGTACTTGAGAGTCTCCACCCACGCCCAGAACATGTCCTCACAAGAACTCCAGGTGGGACAGTTCTCGGGCATAACCCAGGGGTATCCCCAAACAGGATAGAGACCACCCCGGGTCTCGGGCTTCTTACGACAAGTCGTGAAGTCCTTAAGGGGAATGCGGTGTGGCGCGAGAAGCACACACCGAGCAGCCTCCACGTTGTCGACGAACAACTGTTCTTTCTGAACAAGGGCTCGTTCATAGATGCCCCTAGAAGTGTGGCCGCCCACAAGGCCACGAGGAGCGACGAGAAGCTCTAAGAAGAGGTCAGCCCCAGAGCTCTCCTCGGGAGGCCAATACCCTCTTGAGTTGATGGCAGCTCCCTGGCTGACGGGTGCCGCCACCGAACCCCCACGCACACGCTGGGCAGCTTGGAAATCCTCCTGCTGCTGGTCGAGGTCATTCGAGACCTCCCGGGGATCAACAATGGCACCCTCCTCTTCCTCTTCTTCCTCCTTCTCCTCCTCTTCATCCGAGGAGCCGAAGAGACTCTGATAGGAGCGTCGAGTCTCCTTCTCCTCGCGGAGTGGAGACTTAGAGGCGGTACGCTTCTTTGAGGGCTTGGCGCCTTCGGCTTTAGAGGCCTTAGCGCGCGCAAGACCCTCGGCAAGCGAGAGACGTTTGCGAGGACTCCCTTCCTCATCGCCACCGGCTTTGGGAGTGCCCTTAGCCTTAACGGCCGGACTCTCAGAGCGCACAGAGGTCCTGGGACTGTGATCACCGTGATCACTAGCGGACGACTGCACGCTGTCTTCTTTGTGCTCACTGGGCACTGGGCTGTGCCCTCCCACAGAGCCCGCAGGAGCATCATGAGTGCTCTCGGACTCGGCATCGTCCTCACTGCCCGAGTTGAACTCACGTTCTACGAACCGAGGGTTCGGACGATTGTCTGAAGACGAGGGCGACGGACTGCGGCGCCTGCTTGCGCGCTTGTCCGCAGCCGCGTCACCCGAGGATCCGATCGCCTCGGAGGCCACCTGAGTAGCCTCCTTAAGTGCAGAGCCTTTGCCGTGAGGCTTAGTGCTCTTGGCCTGCGCCTTACCGGCTGCAGCCTTGGAGCGTGTCTTAGCACCGCTCTTAGCAGTGCCACGAGGCATGTTAACGGTCGAAGTGGAGACCTTGACGAAGAGCGCACAGGTTGCTGCTCGAGGCTCTAACTGTAAAGTGAGCCTCCGCCGCGCTCGCGCGGCCGAGTCGATGGTTTTCGACTTTGAGAATGAGAGTTTGTGACGAACATCTCTTCATTCTGATTGGTCGGTAAACCGAACCTAAGTGGGGGAGGATGTAACGGGGTACGTAGCACTAAGTGTACCCTGGTTACATGAAGTGTGACACTTCACACTTCAGGAGTATGACATGTCATACTCCGGGATATTTGGTACAAGGTACCAAGGTCATCCATTGGTTTTATGACATTGCATTTCTATAGGTAACTGATAGTTTGTATTAACCTCAAACTTAACCTACCTATAAATATACTCAGTTTACAATCTACCTTATTTAGGTCACTTCGCTCTCTTTAATTAAAGAGGGGACCAGTGAACTGCCGTTCACTGAGAGTTTGTATACTCTCGGAAGATAACTTCCTCTAGCGCAAGGTGCTGTGTGACCCCGTCACACCACGCACGACAGAGCAGCAGTACGATTCCCATCGATACTTAATAAACGCATCTTCGCTCCGAAATTCCCCAAGCTTTGACCAGCTCTGCGATGGAGGCATGGTACTGCAGTGGTAGGTCTACTAGTGTCAAGTCTTCGCGATGCCAATCGTTGTGGTGCAATGGTAGGAGCTGAATGGCTGGTTGCCATTGGCAGATTCAGTTGCCAATAAGTGAATCCGCGACGGCGACACACGTGAGTCCGTTCCATGTACACGAACCAGGTGTGTACTCCAAAAGCCAGTAATCTGTCTACGGTTGGACTGTTGAGCTTGCTCCTGTGTACCGTTGTCAATTTGTGACTACCAGCTGCACGTTTGTGTCTACTATCGCCTACAAAAGTGTGTATTGATGGCCGAGACTTTCTGAGTGTCGCAATAAGACATAATCGACGATTAGATTATTAGGACCAGCCGCGCTTCGCTTGGCTGGGCGCCCCTTCGGCGCCCCCGCGGTTTGCTGCGCTCGCAATATGGAGATATAATGTTCTGGAAAGTGTAGTGCCCGGCTCGCTGCGCTGGGCCCGCCTCCGCAAATACCGCGCGGCCCTGCTTCGCGGGCTCTCCGCGCGGGTTTGCTGCGGCTACGCGCCTCGCACCCGCTCACCTTAGTTGGCGCCGCGGCTATGGCACCCACGTCGCCCAGCCCCGTGTGTGTTATCCCAGCGATGGACGTGTGTTTCTCCTATTTTCTCGTTCGTGACAACGGAGATGTCGTCATCAAGCCGGCGCAAGAGCTGCTGTACGATGAGCCGGACGGACCGGAACTGCCCGAGCAGCTGCTGGTCAAGAGCGACATCTTGTGGCTGCGACGTCATCTTAAGGACACGGGCAATGTGTCGAGTGAAAGAGCCATGCCGGTTTTAAAGAACCAGCCGCAAGAAGAGCCGCTGGAAGCCCCCAGTCCAGCCAAGAACAGCCAGCAACCTTAAAAGAGACTGAGAGAGGAGAGAAGTGAGGAATGATAAAGTGGTTCATACACACGAAAAACTCAGAAATTACATGCAGTAAGGCAGATGCTAATAAATCCATCGTTCGAGTCGCTCGCCAGCTAGTCCGACGACAGATACACGTGCTCCACATCGTCCTCTTCGTAGCTGGACAAGAGCTGGTAGCGTACGTCTTGACGGATCTCGCGGATATGCACGCGCTCGTAGACCAGCACAGAGACCACGACGGACACGAACAGGAGGAGGCACAGCAAGATCTGGTGGACCCACATGGAGAAGAAGCCGAGCATTCCAAACTCGCAGTACGTGGTAGCAGCATATTCAAACGCTCTCGACACGTTCTTGCACGTCTGTGAGGCTACAAACTCCGTCATCATCTTGTTCACGTCGCTCAGCTGCGTGCCAATGGGATCCAGGAACTCCCTCTTCATTCTCTGACCAGTTTCTCCCTGGTGAGCAGCCTTGCGCTCCAGCTCCTGCTGGATCATAGTCACTTCCTCTGCAGTCTGCTGGACACTGACTACAGCGTCTGTGAAAGGCAGCGAAGCGTTGGCTGGACATTCGACGTAGTAGGCGACAACGGGCGTTGCGCCGATCAGTTGGAGCGTGTTGTTCATTGGAGCGGCACAGAAATCTGCCGTCATGATCGTGGATGACAGGTACGCGCCGATCAGCGTGTGCGAAATGGGTACAGCACTCAAGATCACCAGAATCGAGACACGCAGTGGTGAGACCATGGCCCAGCCTACTGACGCAATCGATAGGAAACTTGCCAACGCCACTGCAAGAATGGCACCGTTTGTCGACGACTTGAGTACGAAGTAGCTGAACTCCCACTCCTTGGCAATGCCTGAGTAGTTCTTGGGCAGGAGCGCGTCTGTCAGGTTCGTTAGTTCCTTGGACGCGTGCACGAGTCTCAGCGCCTCCACCGACATCTTGAAAGCTTCAGCTGGCAGTTCACTGTCGTTGAATGACGTGATTAAATTATCAGCATTAAGACGCAAGGCGTTGCTGGTCTGTAGACTTTGAGTCGTGAGCTCTCGAGCGTCCTGGAACAGATCACTTGTGTTGGTCATGGTGTCCAGCACGACGCCGGCGCTGTAGTCCACCTGAGCTTCTCCCAGCAGGCCCCCGAGTGCACTTATCGCCAGGAAGGTCAGCAGTCCGACAGCCAGTAGCTCTACGGACGTGGAATCCATCGAGGTGCGTCGAACAAAAGCTGATGACACAACAGACAGCGCAAAAGCCAGGTCAGAACTCGGTCATCTCTGGGTCAAATCCAATCGCAAAAGGCGCAATCGAAAGCTTTAGTGCTAACTTACCGCTGCGGATGTGCAGGATGGTGCGGCGCACGACGACCACGCAGAGCACGAGGAAGACGACGGCCCCGATGCACAGGGAGCCAAAGAGAACGTTGTGTAGGAAATCCAGGTAAGCTGCATCCCCCAGATCGAAGCGATTGGAGGCAGCGCCGAAGCGGTAGAAGGAGTGGAAGAATGCAGCCACTTCCCTGGCCACTTGGCGGTGGTAGTCCACGGGCAGCAGGCGTAGGTCGCCGAAGGTCGAGGAGCTCATAGCGATTGAGACTTTTTGGATAATGGCTTCTTCACTTGAATTGAGTAAGAGAGGAGAAAGACCTGTGGGGAATAATGAAGCGTTTTATGGGATTGCACAGGTAAAGGGTGGAAGATCGTGTTGAAGTGGTAAATGGCTACATGTACTGCCCCGCTGTAAGTCTAAGCTGCTTGATCCGTTGGTGGATCCGTTTCAGCTGTGGACGGGGTGTTGCTAAAGAATCGTCGAGCGGTGGGAGACGAAGGCGAAGCCGGTGGCGCAACTTGCTGTGCTGCTTCGGTAGTGGCCGACTCGTTATGCTCCGCTCGCTTCTGCCACACAGCCTGGACCTGCAGCAACAATGAGATTACTGACTGCAACGTTATCAAGAGCAGTTCGCCACGCACCGTTTTGCCGTCGGTGAACTCGAGTAGACACGGCAAATGTGCAAGATGCGCCTCCAACAGCTTCGGCACGGACGCCTCGAGTGGCTACACGTGGAGGAGACACGACAGTCGCGATTGGTATTCTAGAGCTGCTCTATTGTGTCGTTTTGAAGGAGCAAAGCGTACCATATCTCCGTATTTCTGGATAGCGATCATTCCCAACGCGTCCAAAAACCGCGCGTAGTTGATACGACGCTCTCCCTTGTTCTTGGCTTTTACAAAGATGAGATCCACGTCCGTTTTGCCAAAGAAAGCGTTGAGCAAGTCCGGACAGTCACGACATAGTTTGACGAAGTTCGAGTTATCTGCCGTGGATCAATTGTCAAAGTTTAGACGCTCTTTAAAACCATTTTCCTGTTAGTATGCGAAGCTAAACGCACAACGTACCGAGTGTCTTCTCCCCCAGACCTTTTGGCCCAGTCCGTCCGAAGCGACAATAGTAGTGGAATACAGCCTTCAGAAGCGTGTGAGGGTCGTTCGGATCTCCCTGGAGTTTCTCCTGAGCGGATGGCGCAGACGTTGGTCGCTCGACTTGGGCAGCGGTCGGTGATAGAGCTGGCGCTTGGGAGCTAGAAGAGCTGGAATTGCTCCGACTCGACCTGCAATTCACAAATTTAATAAAATACGAACGCCTCTGCAGAAGTCCAAGGGCTACGTACACTGCCCGTTGTTTGGGGCGATTCACATCGTGGTTGAGATTGGTGCGCATGGCATTCGACAGGTCGTGCACCACGCGCTCTGTGAGGTCATTGCAGTCGGCCTCGAAGCGCTTCTTATAGACGCCAGTATACGACTTGGGGTCGTACAGCCTTGAGTATACGTTTGACTTGCGCGGTGTGGACGTCGTAGGTGTCGGAGGTGCCGTAGTCGTCTGCTGGGCGGTGTCGGGAGATGCGGGCGCCTCCTCCATCGTACTCTAGCTCAGAAGTGGCTCGCTTTGTTTTCGTTTTAGACTTCTAAATTAGGGTCCTGTCTGTCTCCAGGTGATCAAGTTGCCAGCAGGAATAGGACGGCGTGTGATGCTCGAGGGAGGGGCTATTCTAGTTGAGATGGAGAAGGTTTGGGCAATGGTGCGATGTCGGATGTAAATACGATGCACGACAAGTGGCGTCCTGGCTTTGGGTATTCTGGATCTTCCGTCGCGCTGCCGTTTCCTCACGGATATCTTTCAGACGATACCTTGGACGGGCATTTACAGGACAAGGATAGGCATCGCGTGTTAAAGTTTCTTACGGTCTTTACTGTTTTGTGGGTTTCTATGAGCACACTCTGGTCTGGCCTGAGCACGACTGCTGGGTTTTCGCACAAGTGTCCAAGTCCTTCACGCACAGCATCCAACACGATGTTGCGCTATGTGAGCTGGCAGTGCATAAACAGCTCTTAGAGCAGTCAGCAGGGTCGGTGGAATGACCACGGTTGCACACAACCGAGCAGCCTTCCGAGGGTGCTGTTGCGCCATCCTTCCGGATGCATTCCTTGTAGCTGCATGCAGCGTCAGCAGATGCGACCAAGTGACGACCAGGAGCGCAGCCCAGCAACTGGTGGTCCGACTGATACCCCTGCTGCACGTACTGCGCCGTCGTGTTCGCGTGCACGCCGAAGTCCATTTGCTTCAGCATGCGCTGGTACGACGGCAGTAGCGTCATCTTGCCGAACCATGCGCGCAACAAACGCTGCGTCTCCGTCGTCTTCACCTCGGGCATACGCATACCGTGCATCACGGCCGGGAGCTGCTCCGACGTGCCCACCCAGCGGTTGTAACCCGTGCCCACCATGAGTGTCACTTGGTCGGGTTTGAGAATTGGACGCACGCGCTGACCATCGCGGCGCTGGATGATGAGACCCGACTCCGAGTCGTCCGAACCGCCGGCCGAAACAGACTCGAGCGCACCGTTGGCGGCGTCGGTGTTCACCTTGTAGAAGGCGGGCGTGGCGAACACGATAAACATGCCGTCGTCCTCGTGCAACTCGAGCGGGAATTCGTCCTTGGAAGACGTCGACACCTTGGTGCCGGAGTCCGCGCTCATGAGTCTACGCTCATGCAGAGACGGTGTCTCGTACGCGTGGAAATGGTCTAGACGCACGGCATCCGTCATGAGCTTGCGACTCCAGACGGTCTGGCCGTAGCCGTCCTTCGTGGTGAAGCTGGTGGCATCGAGCGTCGTGGCAACATTCAGCACAACCAATTCCAGCAGTGAAGAGAACTCATCGTAGATGGTCTTGTAACCCGGACACGCGGCGTCTGTCGTGGTGGCAGTGGCGTTGGCATCCTGTCCGGACGGCGTACTGATGGTGTAGCGATTCGTACCGTCCGTGAGCGTCTTGGACAGCAGGAACTCAGCGTTGGCCTCTTGCGCGGAAACGGCACAGGCAGCGGCCGAGTCGAGGTAGGAGCGACGCACTTGAGCATAGGACGGTACGTTGGTGAAGCTGATGATGCCGTCCTTCTTGAGTGCGGTGAGTACGTCGTTGGGCGTGTTTCCGGTCGAAAGCGTTTGGTAGTCGAAGTTGGGGACTTCGAATGCGGGCACTTGGTCGGCGAGGTTGGTGGGTACGGCGCTGGTCATGACCATGGTAGCAATTCCCAAGAGCATTCGTGGCATGCTTATCTACTATTTTGTAAAAGGAGAACTGTGTTGGGTAAAAGCAAAATGAAAGTGCGCGCTGGAAATTTGGTTGGGCAACGATTCATGCACATGTACCGGTACTGCCGGCTTCGGCATTTGTTTGGCGTTGACAGGACTGGTGGATGGTGGGGAAGCAAACAAAACTGGATTGACGATAAGTGTACATGTACTCATGCATCAAGTTATTTGAATTTTTATTTGAGAGTGACTACAGTAGACCAAGCATGGCTACTTTATCCTGGATAAAAACTTGATTTTTGTATAGTCTGTACTGTCCGATCTGATCTGTCGTGGAGCTGAAAGTGGAAAGTTGTAATGGAGGTCCCCCTCAGCGGCCGAATCTGCGCTCGTTAGCGCTACTAGGCTTTTCCTACTGTCAACAACTCGCATATATGTAAATAGTATGACCTAACTCGCAGGCGCTAGAGCACTGTAAGTGGGTGTCCGATGTGATCTGTCGCGCAGTGTAGGGCCAATGCCTAGGAAGGTGTTTAGGAGGGTGATATAAAAGAATTCACGCCACTTTTGGAGATTATGTCAAAACTTTTGACTCAAAAGTCTCTGCTATTTTAGGTTCATTTACTTAAAAAGATACATGAACTTCGAGGAAATAAACTTCGGAGGGAAATTTGAGCACCAGTAGCTTCGTGCCAGTGCAGTGAATAAATTTTGCCTCGCCTACGTATATAACTCAAACCTCAAGAATCAGAATAAAACTATGCTGAAATAGCTATTTGGGAGCAAGTCGACCTCTCATGAGCAGTGCGAGACAGTACCAAAGTTTTAGAAAAAACTCAAATTGTTGGTTTCCAAATCGTGGTAGACTTGTTTTTCACGAAGTAGCTATTTTCGATTGAATGAGGCAGATTTAATGAAATAGTTTTTTCTTGCGAAATTACGTTTCTCAAGGCCATCTTCTTTTATTGCAAACACCAAAATCCAGTTCTTTTTTAAAAAGGGGGGGGGATTTGCACCAGCGAAAACTTCGCGCCGAGAATAAGCGGAGCAACAGTGTTCGTGGTGGTTGAGCGAAGTGTAAGACCATGGGCTAAGCTGAAAAGTAAACGGCGGATTTCACCGAATATTTTTTATCAATACATCCTTCACAGCGAATGGTACAAATTAATCTTGTAGTAAATTATCTTCATACCGGTAATATGCCCATCGTTCAACAATGAAGGATAAAATTTCAACTTTCTTTAATCATGTCGAGCGCGCGTTGGCATCGGATTTTATTATAAATGCAGGATCCCCCTACAATTTTGCTCGAACATTGCAGATCAGCGGCCTTTTACGAACCAATCGTGCTCATGTTAGACTCTAACTTTGCGCGTGCAAAGCTTCTGCTCGACTTCAAAGCAAATATTCGGTACTAGTACAATTATCGAAATGACAGCTTCGTTATTGATAATAATATTACAAACAAAGCTGTCATTTCGATAATTGTAACTTCCAATTACCGGTACTGTACATGTACAAAATTTTCGGCTACTGTACCTTGCTTGCCAAGCGGTGAGCAAGTACATGGAACTTCCATGATGGAAGTGTACCGTACACTGTGTACGGTGTAGTCGCCGACTATTATAATACTGTACACGCTCACAATTACTACATGTACAGTACAGGCTTGCTTGTTGACAGCCAGTGGTTGTACCAGCTGCTGATTCAGCCCTGAGTTCTTCAGCTGAGCTATTAATAGGCAGCCGATGGGAGAGTCCCATCGGAACCCATTGAGTCCCAATTTGCGGACAGCATAAGATGTGGTAAACAACATTGTAATGGGAGGTAAGATATTAATGCTAAGTACAGTACCTCCCTCCGTGTGCAACCGCAGGTTGCCAAACCTGCTATACTAGCCCCTATCAATACATGCATACTGTACACAGTATAGCCTACAATGTAGGCTACCGACTGCTGCAGCAGGACCAGTTCGCCATCTGCCCGTTTGCAATACGTGCTGCATGCATAGCGACACCTCCCTTCGATTCGTGTCACTCTTCATGTCAGCATGTCATACTTAATCAAGTAAAACTTACCTTAAATTCATGTGGAGCAGCACCAAATCGACAATTGTAGATGTGCAAGCCGTACCCATCTCACAGTTACAGAGCATGTATTTTAATTTGTGATGTTTTTAATTGATTACAAAACAAGTGTTACATGTCGTATCTTATATGTTTTTATATATTAATATTTTTATGAGAAGTAAAATTCGCGCAACCACCTGTTCGAGGGAATGCGTCTTTTGTCTTGTCGTAGGCTCAACTCACACAGGTAATCTGTGTGAGTTGGGCCTACGACAAGAATTTTTTTGAAACCTGTGACAGGTTTCAAAAAAATTCTTATCAAAAGAAGTACAGTGTACTTCAATTCAAGTACTTAGTACCGTACAATTTACAAGTGCGGAAACCCCAGTCAACAATAGGCTGTGCCACACTTCCAACGTGTTCAGTCACGGGAAGCTTTGGACTCGTATCCATGCAGTCAGGTCCATTCACCGTTCCCACGTGAAATTCACGTGGGTATCTCGGTGACATCTTGGCAAGTTGATTTTGCAGCAATGATAGCTGACCTCTTCGGATAAACACAGATTCATGAACATGGCGTTTTCCCAAACTCAGAGTCCGTCCCGTTCATTTCCAATTTTAACCTTAGCAGCGCACACACGAATCGAGATCTGAAATCCACAGTGCGACACAATGGTCCGAGTTTCCAAGATACTCCTGGGAATTGCTACCATGGTCATGGCCAGCGCCGTACCCACCAACCTCGCCGACCAAGTGCCCGCATTCGAAGTCCCCAACTTCGACTACCAAACGCTTTCGACCGGAAACACGCCCAACGACGTACTCACCGCACTCAAGAAGGACGGCATCATCAGCTTCACCAACGTACCGTCCTATGCTCAAGTGCGTCGCTCCTACCTCGACTCGGCCGCTGCCTGTGCCGTGTCCGCGCAAGAGGCCAACGCTGAGTTCCTGCTGTCCAAGACGCTCACGGACGGTACGAATCGCTACACCATCAGTACGCCGTCCGGACAGGATGCCAACGCCACTGCCACCACGACAGACGCCGCGTGTCCGGGTTACAAGACCATCTACGATGAGTTCTCTTCACTGCTGGAATTGGTTGTGCTGAATGTTGCCACGACGCTCGATGCCACCAGCTTCACCACGAAGGACGGCTACGGCCAGACCGTCTCGAGTCGCAAGCTCATGACGGATGCCGTGCGTCTAGACCATTTCCACGCGTACGAGACACCGTCTCTGCATGAGCGTAGACTCATGAGCGCGGACTCCGGCACCAAGGTGTCGACGTCTTCCAAGGACGAATTCCCGCTCGAGTTGCACGAGGACGACGGCATGTTTATCGTGTTCGCCACGCCCGCCTTCTACAAGGTGAACACCAACGCCGCCAACGGTGCGCTCGAGTCTGTTTCGGCCGGCGGTTCGGACGACTCGGAGTCGGGTCTCATCATCCAGCGCCGCGATGGTCAGCGCGTGCGTCCAATTCTCAAACCCGACCAAGTGACACTCATGGTGGGCACGGGTTACAACCGCTGGGTGGGCACGTCGGAGCAGCTCCCGGCCGTGATGCACGGTATGCGTATGCCCGAGGTGAAGACGACGGAGACGCAGCGTTTGCTGCGCGCATGGTTCGGCAAGATGACGCTACTGCCGTCGTACCAGCGCATGCTGAAGCAAATGGACTTCGGCGTGCACGCGAACACGACGGCGCAGTACGTGCAGCAGGGGTATCAGTCGGACCACCAGTTGCTGGGCTGCGCTCCTGGTCGCCACCTGCTCGCATCTGCTGACTCTGAGTGCAGCTTCAACGCTTGTACAGTCAAGTCGGGTGCCACAGCACCATCCGAGGGATGCTCGGTAGTGTGCAATCGCAATCATGCTACCGATGCTGCTGACTGCTCTAAGAGTTGTTCATGCACAGTGAGCACGCACAGCGCCACTACATGCTGGATGCTCTGCGTGTTGGATCTGGATTCGTGCAGCCTCGACCAGCAGTCGTGCTCTGGTCAGGCCAAGGTGTGTGACTCGTCTTCGGTCCCAGCTCCTGCACCTGCACCTGCACCTGCACCAGCTCCGGCACCAGCTCCGGCACCAGCTCCGGCGCCTGCACCGGCTCCAGAACCGGCGCCTGCTCCACCAGCCCCCACGTCTGCCCCGACTCCGACAACTACGTCTCCGTCTTTGCCTTCGACCCCCACAACACCGCCGTCAGACACATCGACGCCCTCGCCCCCCTCGACGACCCCATCCACTCCATCATCGGACGACACCACCCAAACTGGAGCTAGCGAGGAGCGCGACGCGTCCTCTGGTGCGACGACAACAGCCCCCGTTTCAGCGACTGGGTCCTCTTCGTCAAGCACACCTGCGCCCACGACACCTGCGCCCGCCAGTGAGCACGGCGTTTGCTAGACAGACCAACAACAAAATTGTCTTCCAATAATCTGAAAAAAAGAGAAGCTACTACCGGTATGTAGTAAAACCGTTTTTTAAATTGTTTCAAATATTTTAAATTTAATACTACAGTAGTATAAAAAAGTTCAACTACTACACCATTGCCCGACCTACTTCGCCATTGTAAAGCAAAGTGGGTTGTCCCGTAAATACGAGTTTTTATTTTTTTTATTACTGCTAGTATTTGAAAAAAAACAGTGAAGAGCAATCTGGATGTAGTCCACAGCAAAATTTGAGCCTACGTACCGTACTTCATCGGCTCGCTACGCGTAGCGGCAGCGACCGAGATTGCGCAGTGTCGAACCATCGTATTCACCAGACGCATGTCCATGCAGTACACACAGCGCTCTGCTGCTTTTTCAAGAAGCCGCATTCGCATCTCTGCCTTCTGTCCGTACGGAGCGTCGAACATTTCGTGTTGATTGTGGGCAAGATATGCCTTGATACGCACCTTTAAAGCGTTGAAGCACCCTGAAAGTACACAAAGGAAAGTGGTCACACGAAGTACAATAACGATAGTCATGTAAACGTACCTTCAATGGGGTTACACATGGGCGAGTAAGGGCCTAGCCGCAAAAACATCAGGTCATCTCGCTTTTGAACGAGGTCCTCTGTCTGGCTGTGGGCGGGGGCATTGTCCACTACGATGACAATGTTTTTTTCCCTGGAAATGCTCTTGGTAGACATTATGGGCCTTCACTGCAGCGGAGCTGCCGTAGCTTTAGCGTCAGAGGAAGACGTTCGACTCAAAGAGTCACTAATATTAAGTTCCTTATCCAAAGGACACTTACAGCCCAAGACCAGGGCTCAAAGTTAATACCTTAACTTTATGCTTCAAAACCGGAAGTGTTTTTTTACTATTATTGCGGCCAAGCCGCCTAGGGGTGAATGTATCTGTTTAACTATCTAGCATAGTTAAACCTTATCAAATGCATAATGTGTGGCTTTCGGCCAACGTACTGAGAGACCTTGTTAGCTCTCCAACTTATGTACTGAGAGTTTGTTAACTCTCCGGGTACTTCGTACCCCTGTGTGCTCCACACCATGTAACCCCGTTACACTCTCCCCCACTAAGATGAGAACATTCCGTTCTCGAAACTCTCCTCAGCGAGGTCACGTCTTGTTAAGACGGCGGAGGTTACTACACCTCACACCAGCGTTGTACAGCTCAGTGAGCTCACAAACGCCTACGCATCGTTGATGCCCAACTTCTCGTCGTCGGCCCACGGCCCAATGTTCCAAGCGCAGCGCGCATCTTGCTCTCAAGCGGTCTCAGACCTACGCTCGCGCTCCGCGCCTACTCGAAGAGCTGCAAACTGCTAAGAGCAATGCTCTTGACTCATTCGAGTCGTCGACAACAGCTCAGCGGTTGAACACTCGCTTCACAAGCGATAGGTCGGTGGTTCGAACCCACCAGGGCACAGCCCTCTCGTTCCATGAACGATTGTTCACGCTTGGACAAGCTTAGGGGCAACACCCTTTTAGCTCAATGGTTGAGCGTTGGCTTTGAGAGCCACAAGTCGGTGGCTCGAACCCACCAGGGCACAGCCCTCTCGTTCCATGAACGATTGTCCACGCTTGGACAAGCTTAAGGGCAATCCCCTTTTAGCTCAGTGGTCGAGCGTTGGCTTTGGAAGCCACAGGTCGGTGGTTCGAACCCACCAGGACACAGCCCTCTCGTTCCATGAACTGTTGTCCTTGAATGGACAAGCTTAAGGGCAACGCCCTTTCAGCTTAGTGGTCGAGCGCTGGCTTTGGAAGCCACAGGTCGGTGGGTCAAATCCACCCGGGCGCAGCCCTCTCATACCATGAGTAGTCCGTTCTCGGACTGACGTACGGGCATCGCCCTTATAGCTCAATGGTAGAGCTCCGGCCTGTCAAGCCAAAGGCCAGTGGTTCGATCCCCGTCCCGGACACCACTTTCGCTGTTACAGCGCATCCACATTTGGATCACGCTCATCGAGCAAGTTGTTTCAAAACAAATATACGTCTATCGAGACGCTTGTGCCTGAACCTTGTTCAGCACAACACGAAGCACCTGCTTCCTTCGGGACCATGTCCCCAGCACTACGAGGTCTCTCCACCTCCTGCTCCCGCTGCGATGACCGCTCATACGTACGAGCTGGCTGCTGCAGCCACTGGTCAGAGCCTGAGCTCAACTACTGACCTGATCGCTCCCCACTCTAGTGGGAGGCGCCCAGCGCCTGGCGACGCTGTCGCACGCCATGGTGGCGCTTCGGCACATGATGTGCCCGGTCGTAAGCGTCAACGACGTCAGGGCAATCTTGCCGGAGGATAGCCTCAAACTCCCATGAGTTCTGTGAGTGAGGGTAACCCCTCCACTTCACCAAGTACTGGGTACGACCCTGGCGTCTACGCCACGCCACAAGGCGTTCCACGTGAAAGTGGAGCTCACCATGCTCATCGAGCAGAGCAGGAGGAGGCCTTGCCTCAGCTGGGCTCTCGTGGGGAGAGTCAGCACTTGCCGGAACGGCGTCTGCGTCCATACGACGCCGGCGTCCACGACGCGAACGTTCACGCTCACCGCCCATCGGTCGATCTCGAAGAGATGATCCACCTTGTGGATAGGTTAGAGCCACCACTGTTGACTCACAACCAGGTCTCGGACCTTGAGCGTCCAGTCGCTCGGCTGAACGTTCAGCTTGCCTTGCTCCTGCATCTCGAGCACTTTGCTCCGCGACCTGTGGCTCTGCCACATGCTGTTGATCAGCCATCTGTGGATCCACCACTTGCTGTCGCTCAGCCTCCCGTGGCTCTACCACCTGCTGCCCTGCAGATGTCCGTGGCCCAGCCACCGTTGGTGCCAACGCCTCCGCGCTCACCTGAGCAGGGTCTTGATATGGCTTAAGCAAGCCAACATAGAAGACCGGATGCGTGCGCATCTTCTTCGAGAGGTTGAGCGTATACGCTAGGCCCTTCCTGGCCACGACCTTAAACGGTCCTATGAAACGAGGTCTTAACTTCGTTTTGAAAACTGCAGACACTGCATGAGTAGGTAGGTTTTTAGCGTTTAATAAAACTTGGTCTCCGACCTCAAACCTCTCAACATTGCTTCTGCCCTTGGCATCTGCATGTTCCTTCTGCGTGTCTTGGCTTTCAGCCATAGCGTCGCGTACTTGACGCATTACGCTCAGTCTCAAAGAGACAAAGTCATCGACTTGCTTGCGAACCGCAACAGGGCTGACATCAGCTAGCCGCTCGGCTATCCCTCCCCCATCAAGCCTTGAGCCACTGCGTGGCGGCGTCAGTAGGACGCGAGGGTTAACCAAGCCGTTCACATAGAACGGAGTGTAGCCTGTCGAGGCGTGCACTGCATTATTTAATGCGACCTCAACGAGTGGGAGCATCTGGCTCCAGCGTTTTGGCGCCTCAGCGCATACGCGTCGGAGAGTATCCTCCACAACGCGATTCACGCGTTCGGTTTGATCATCGGTCTGCTGATGGTCCGCTGTGGACATGTCCAAACGAGTGTCGAGCACTCTGAAGAGGGACGTCCAGAGCTTAGCGGTGAAGTGCGGGTCTCGATCCGAGACAATTGCCTCAGGCAAGCCATGTTGGCGAAAGACTCGGTCTAAAAACAGCAAAGCTGTACCTTCACCATCAATGGTGTCCGGCACTGCCGCTAAATGAGCCATCTTGCTCAATCGGTCTACAAAGACCACTATACCCGTGTTTCCATCCTTATCCTTGGGAAGGCCAAACACAAAGTCCATACTCATGGACTGCCAGCATCCCTTGGGGACAGGCAAGCTCGCCAATGGCGCTGCCGTGCTCGGCGCGGACTTTGTCCGTTGACACGTCTCACACGTGCGTACATAGGTACCGACCCACTTATACATCTTGGGCCACTAGTACATCGAGCTCACCGAGCCATAGGTCTTCTCCCGACCTAAATACCCGCCCACGGGCGTATCGTGATCCTCATAGAGGATTCGATACTTTAGATCCTCATCATGAGGAACGACTACACGAGGGTTATCCTCAGAGTCGGTGCTGTAGTACAGCAGGCCGCCATCGAGTGAGTATCGATGCAGCCTCGCGCGTAAGCGCCCAGACAATTCCTTGTCAGAGTCTTTAAACTCTTCGCTCCCAAGAGCCCGTAGCAGCGCTACGGACATGTCGTCTTGTGCATACGCTCCGCGTATCAAGTCAGGCACTGACGACGTCACTGTCGTGACATGAGCTAACTCGTAGTCCGGCCTGCGCGAGAGCGCATCCGCCACTACATTAAGCCGCCCCGGCTTGTACTTCACCTCGAAGTTATATTCGGCAAAGAAGGAAAGCCATCTTGCCATTCTCTGAGAGAGATGAGGCGACTGTGTCGCAGTGCGTAACGACGCATGATCAGTAAAGATCACAAAAGGCTTAGAGCCTAGCAGGTGTACCCTGAATTTGACTAGAGCATACTTCATTGCAAGTAGCTCTTTGTCATGAACTGGATAGTTCTTCTCTGCAGCTTTGAGCTGGCGAAACTCAAACGCAATCACGCGCTCACGCCCTTCGGCGTCTGCTTGTAGTAAAGCACAACCGATTGCAAAATCGGAGGCGTCACAGATGACGCTAAACGGACTATCCGGGTCCGGTAGCGCAAGGATCGGAGCCTGGAGAAGGCTCTCCTTCACAGCCTTAAAGGCTCCGTCGTGCTCGACGTTCCAGCACCATGGTGCGTCCTTCTTAAGGAGATCTGATAATGGCCGAGCCATCTCCGCGTAGTTCGCGCTGTACTTGTGCAAGTAATTGGCTAAGCCTAGCCACTTGCGTAAGTCCTTTTGGTTCTTGGGAGCCGGCCAGTCTACGATGGCCTTGACTTTGGCAGGATCTGCCCTTAAGCCACGCTTCCCAATGAAGCACCCGAGGAAAGGTATTTCCTCCGCGCCAAAGACGCACTTATCCAAGTTGGCATACAACTTATTAGTGCGCATGCACTCGAGCACCGC